AGGAAGAAGACCGGGTCATTACAAGGTGAGTTCCAGTGCCAGCCAAAAAAAAAAATTAACTAACATTTTGTAGTATAAAATTTTGAAATTAAAATTTTTAAAAAATATATATTTCAAACATTAAACAAATTTGTTTTTTTATTCTAATTTTAAAGAGTCAATTTTATGTTTCGAAAAACAACATTTAGTCAAAAAAAAAAAAAAAAAATTGTTGGTCATTTGACTTTATTTTTCTTACATATCTACTGAACCAATAGATATATTGAGTTTCACAACTTTCACATACCGTTAGAATCATAGAATCAACGCCTTAAACTTAAAATTATAAAAAAATTAGTTAAAAGCTTAAACTAATTTTAATTTTAAAGCACATTTTTGGTGCTACCAAACATATCTCTAATCATTTACTCACGTGAATGTATATATTGCTTATTAATTTGTCCTTTTCATTGTCTATTGTGCCTAATTTAATATTCGATGTCCAAAATACCCTCAATGTGTTCGTAGTGTACGTAGGGTTGGGCAGAGGAGAAATAGGTTTGAGGGGAACAAAACATGGATATGGTGAGGGTGTGTTTGGCATATATTGGTTTTTGGCTTCTGTTGCTATGGGTTGGACACTAGGGATGCTGCCCTCTGTAACCAAATTCCCAAAATTGACTTAAAGGTATAACTTCCTTATCTTTTAAAATGAGGGGAAGGATATCGAGTTAGGAAATGAGCAAAAAAAAATAATATATGTGTATTTGTTTTACCATTTAAAAAAAATATATATATATATATATAGTTTAATTTCTTAAAATTAGTTATGGTAAATGTCAAAAACAAGCAACAATTTCCTAAATTACAAAGATAGTTGACCAAACACTTTTTAAACAAATTTTACGGTAAAGTAGGTGTTACAAGAAAATAGTAGTTTTGATTTTTACCGATTGATCTAAGAATCGCTAGTCAATTATCATATACTAGTATCATTTTAACTCCCCAAAAAACGTACAAAGGTCCGCACGCATTTCGTCCTTCCTTTTTAAGTTTTTTGTCTTGCAAATGAGCTTTCCTTTTCTCGTGACCGACTCATCTTTCAATTTTTAAAAATATTACTTTAGCCCATTCCGCTTAAGTTAGGATATTGTCGGTGATTTTCAGTACAACATAGACGACCAGAATGCACCAAATATTGAATTTTATTGATGCACCTATGAAGACAAAGCCTATAAAATTTTAACATATTTATTGTAAATTTCAATACATTTGTTCTAAATTTTAATAGATATTATGTATAAAACTTTAAAACAAATTTATTGAAACACGTCTTAATTATTTTAAAATTTATTTTTAATTTCAAATACATATCAACAATTAAAAAAAAAAAAAACACAAAAATAAAAGCCCTACATCCAACTCCGTCAATTTAGCCGTAGAATGAATGTTGTGTATAAAAGATCCAAAAGGGTACTATAGTTTATTAAAAATATCCAAAAGAGTACAATATGGTTTGTAAAGAGACAAAAGTACTGAAACGGAAAGCATGGGACTCCTCAATTGAGGATAAGAACAAATTCAGAAGCTTTTTTGCATTGCAGTGACATACCCATGTCATATATATATATATATATATATATGTATGTATGTATATGTATGTATGTATTCACCGATCAATCAACATCATCATCGTAATTATGGCCACACCCACCCCAACCCCAACCATCATGGATGTGATGACTCGACGAGTATGATCTGATGGGAATTTATTTATTTATTTTTTTTTAAAATTTTCAAATAGGATTTAAATTTTGGATAAATTTCATCAACTTAATTTAAAATTTAGGTAAATTATACAGTCTCATACTTTATTATTTTGAGCTCCCTTAAACCTATTTATCGGCGGGCCAAAAAGTGATTTTGATGCTCCGGTCAGTTGAAGGAATGAAAAAATTGATGAAAGAAAGAGAGTGAGAGAGAGGGATGGACGAAGTATCCATAAGAAAGAGAAAATATCTCTCTTTTTGTTTGGCCGAATGAAGTGGATAAATATAAAAGATAAATGAAGTAAGCTCTTTTTTATTTTATTTTTTTATTTATTGAAATGCAAGGAAAGAGAGTATTTATAGTTTTTGTACTATTATTATACTCTCATCCTATACAATTATAAAAAAAGTAAATTACATAGTTATTAGTAGTTATCTTTTTTTTTTTTTTTCTCTCCTCTGATCTTCCCCCATTTGGAGGGGAAAAAAAAATACAAAGCAAGGAGGGCTGCTTCATCCCGCCTACCTTCCTCCCTCTCTTCCAACTAAACACAGAAGGATTCTTCTCTCCCCTTTCCTCTAATCAAACACAAAAAGATTATTCACTCCCTCCTCTCATTCGTCCCTCCTCAATCCTTCCCTCCAACCAAATATACCATGAGTGTAAAAATTTAATAATGCTCTTATATTATAATAATATATCATATTACATTTTATACAAAGGAATGGCAAAATTTTCATTTTATAGATTTTGGTCAATAGATCTGCAGGAAAGAAAATGATAAAGGTGTCATTGAGCACATGTGCCAATCTTAGGGGAGGTCAAAGTAATAAACATTGAATAGTCTATTTGTATGTAATTTGCTTAAATCTTAATAAATGTCAATGTAATTTACCCTTTAAATTAAAAATTAATACAAATTGGAACATATATTTATAATGTACATTTCTTTTACTTTATATTTTTATGAGGAAGAATTGAATGGCCAAGTAAAATTCATAAATAAAAGAGTAGAAGCTCTTAACGTCTCGCTTTCAAAAAACCCCTATTATATACAAAATGTGTAAATATACTTTTAGTGTTAAAATTAAAAATAAAAAAAATAAAAAAATAAAAAAATAAAAACCCTCTATTTTTTTAAAATTGAACAAATAAGGATATTTTGTCAATTTAAAGATTATAATAACTAAAATACTCTTTAAGACAAAATAAAAATAAAAAACACTAATTTTATAAAACACTGATTATTAAGGATATTTTGGAATTTTAATAAAAAAAATATTAGTCAAAATTGATGGGCAAGGGACAATTTGCACATATTTTCAAAATGTTATGGCAAAACATATAATAGAACACCATATAGTTGATAATGCTAATATATGGTTTAAAAAAAGTAAAAGAATTAAATATATATATAATCTTTACATAATTTATACAAAGTAATTAATTTTAGAATCTTATTTCTGCATTCTAATAATCAAGTTTTAATACACAAAAATGTTGAAATATTCAATTTTTCTTTAATAATTTTATTAAATATTAATTTAATAAAAGAGAAGTGATATTCACACTCTACTTAGACTCCAATAATAATAATAATAATAATAATAATATATGTTAGGAATTCTATTGAAATGGATGGCCCCTTATATTGAACTGATTGCCCAGTGTATCAAAAGCAACAAGTTGGATTTCAATTGACTTAAACTTGTCTCCAATTATTATCACTTTGTTTACTCTTTTTCTGGGATTCTTGTTTACTTGGAGATCCTCTGCTGTTATACAAGAGTGGAGCAATTACTTTTTCAAGTAATATATATATAAACACACACACACACACACACACACACACATATATGTATGTATATTGTATAGTACTCTGAAAATATTTTAGGACAGCCCTTTATATCATTGTGGACTCGAGATAATAAAAAGTAGTAACGACTAACAAAAAAAAGGTCTTAAAATCTGTTACCTTTTAATGCAACTAAAGATGTGGATAATACCAACCCAGCCCACATTCCAACTCAAGGACAGGAATGTGGATGCCAACAAAATAGCTCACATTCGTCAAATTTAAAATAAAAAAAAATAGGAACGAGTATGGCTTGAACATGACTATATATAAAGCAAACTTATATAGTGGATCTGTTTTTGTAATTTTAATGGCGTTTTTTTTATAAATTTTAAAAAATTTAAAGTATAAATGCAAAAAAAAAAAAAAAAATTCAAGGAGAGCGAATTGTAATTTTAGTGGGAGCATCTTCATAAATTCTCAAAAATTTGAAATATAAAATACAAAAATAAAAGATCCAATGGGAGCAAATTGTAATTTTGGCGGGGGTAATTTCATAAATTCTAAAAAAATTGAGGTAAAAATCTAGTGAGAGCATCCGTCTCCACTGGTCCCACGCTAGGTCCTATATAAATATGAAATTTTACATGGATTGAGTATTAGTATTATAAAATTTTAACTCATTTCTAATTTTTTTACTAAAGTTGTAATAACTTTTATATCACATGTACAGCTATTTCACTATTTTGTCGTACTAGTATTTTTATTTTAAATGAACAAATATCATTTAATGTTTCGTTTAACAAGAAGGATATGTTCAGTTTAAATTTCTAAGAATAGACAGAAAAAAACAATTGAAAATTTTAATTCAAATATTCATGGGATTGACATTCTTTAAATTATTCTTCGAAAAAAGAATTAGAAAAAACCCAGTAACAGGAAACACTGTTTTTCATTTTCGCATAACCCTAATATTTTTTAAATTTTCCCTCTCCACTATGACCATAAATCCTTATAACCCTAATATTTTTCTAATTTTCTCTCCTGGTTAGCAACTGCCTCCTCATGAGTTCTTACAAGTAAAAATGAAAATTCATTCCCAGAGGCAAGATCAAGGTTTGCCCATGATTGGAAAACTGGGTCCAATCATGGCCATTTCGGATCAATGCTGAATACAGAATTTACACGTAACCCGGGCGAGGTTCGAGGCCGTTGGATGTGGTGGTTATCCAACGGCTGAGAGACCCCATGTACGGAAACCGGGGTATTGTAGACTTTCACAACAAACACAAACTAGAGAGGCAAAGTCTGTTCAGTTAATCCCCTCCAATCTTACATTGAAAAATAAAGTGTGACATATCTCAGTAAAACTTTCCATTCCATTTCTTGGGAAAATCATTTGTATTTTAAACAAACAAAAACACACATAAGAATGCCCAAATTAGCTGACCAGAAATTGAGGGAAACAAAAGAAAGGGGACTTTGTTTTTAATTTAATCAACCATTCATGTAAAAATATAACGTTGAGTTCAACCAATCCACACGTCCATAAAATTATAATCCAAACAAATTGACAATTGATGACCAAATCACACAAAACTTTCTAAATGCAAACTTAACTAGCTCTTAAACAAGTACATTGAAATTAAAAAGAACAAGAAGACACAATTGTTGACTGCATCTTTGGGTCAGATACTAGCCACGAGTTCTGCTGCTTTCTGCGTTTCTTACCGGGTAGAAGTAAGGATGAGCCTGCACGAATCAAGAATCAAGCAAATTATATAACGTTATTTGTGTTCACTCAATGTCCAACTCACTAGTTCAGTCTCTCAATCACTGTTATATGTAAACGGGACATAAGTATGTTAACTTGCAAACCTTCTCGTAACTCTGTTACGCATTCAAACCATACCAAAAAATCTCAAGTATCTTGTGTGTGTGTGTGTGTGTGTGTGTGTTTGCAGTAGTTAGAGCTGATATTCTCACAAAGTACGTGTTTTTACCATTGCTTCTTTTGCAGTTGGCCTTTCTTGATGATCATATCGCAGCAACTTGTCAAGGAAGTCAATTGCCTTCAAAAGAATAAATGCAGGTTTTAGTAGAATACAAGGCGAAGAAAACGTTTTAAGATTTGTTACAAATGACAGAAGTTTCTACCTCAGGAACAGCCAAATGTTGATTATCGGCATTGATGAACTTAATCCACGGTTTCCTGCTATGCCTATATCAATAGACGACAAAAAAAGATTTTTATGTTGAAACCACTAGCTTTTTATAATAAGATTCAGTGGAACTTCAGTATGTCACCAACCTCCCAACAAGTGCGGCAAGATGCGGATCTAACTCTAAGCGATACTTATTCAAATAAGAATTTAAGTCATCTGTCCCAAGTACCTACAGAAGCAAAAGAAGTGACTTTAATAAGTTCAATTTCTATTTATTCCTAGTAAATATTATTAATAGAGACAGACTTGAACAAATTTAATAATAAAAACACACACGGGCATAGATGGTGGTCTAGCAGAGCAAATGTTTGTTTAATTATATCAAATAAGTGATGTTAGGCCCCATACACCTGCAAGCTAACGCAAGAAATAGCATGCTTCCAGCAATGATCAAGAATAATAGAAGCAGGGGAACCTAAATAAACAAAAAAGCATTGCTAATGTATACAAATATAGGGATCTATACAAGCAGAGTCGAGCCAAGTAGTGAGTAGGTTGAATTCGGTTACAGACAAAAAATGGGCAAACCCAGTGCACGAGGTTCCCGTCATTGCAGGATCTGGGGAGTGTTAGATATATGCAGCCTTACCTCCGTTGATTCCTTGTTTCAAACCCATGGCCTCAATATGCAAAACTTAGTAAAATAGATTTTAAGGACAAAGGAATACAAAGTACTGAAATTCAACCAATTGCCAACTGATGTATCTATCAAGGGGATTGAGAACAATGGCTCAATAATATATTCAAAACCATGATTGTCCTTTCAAGTATATCAAAATTAATGTATTAAATATCACTTTATTGATTTTATCTGAGAGAAACACTTATTTTATGTCTCAAAAAGCCATTCATGACAAAATAAATCACCAAACGGTTGGGACACAGATTTCAAAAACATACCCCCAAAAAAATGACCGAAATAAGACGGGTGAATAAAATGACAAGATCATCAGAAGTTTTTGCAACAATGAAAAAGAAAATTTTGTTGGGGGCCAATGTGATATAATGAAGTAATCAAGTTCAACACAAAAAGTCACAACACATAAATTTTCTGCTCCGCCAAAAATCAAGCAAGCTCGGGCATTTTGTTGACAATTACCCTATACACATAGATACTTGCAGGTATGGAAATATGCTGTTTCAACTTTCATACAGGTAAGCACCTCTGTATATAACCACATTATATTGTTAAAACTTAAAAGTAGTAGTTATTAGAAACTGCAACCTATCTTAAATTGTTTCCCGTACCTTGGCAATTTTGACCAGTTGATCATAATTATCATGCCCATAGAAAAATGGCTCCTTACGAAATATCTGTACACCACAAGAAACATTTACAATAAGAATCATATGAGAGAGACACCTTTACATACCTTGGTGTGGTACCAAATTTTGAACCTCCTCGCCATCTGCCACCCGTGGATGATATGCAAGCAGATCAAAATTTACTTATATATAGCATCACCAATAGAATCTACTACCTACCCATAAATTTAAGACACTAATCTTAATATAAATCTCTCTAAATCAGGTTCACACAATAATTCCATTATCTAGCTGTAAAGATAATAAGATTAGCGTGAATCTCAGGCCGAGGCTGACGAGGAGGAGGCTCATCAATTGATATGTCCAGGCCACTTGCATAAATATACACCAGAGTTAAATGTGAATATGTGGAAAGCATGAAAAATGCTTGACATCTGTTTAAAAAATTCCGAAACTGAAAATGATAAAGGTTCAGCCTACCAAATAAAAAAAATCAATAGCACAGAGGGAAATGCTCACCATTCCAGCAAACATACATCCAAGGCTCCATAAGTCTAATGAGTAATCATAGTCTTGCAAATCAACAAGAAGCTCGGGGCCTTTAAAATATCTGCAATCATAAGGTAAATAAGAGGGGGCAGGAGACATGTATCAGTTCATGAGAAGATATAACTACATACGAAACCTAAAGAACTTCTGCACTTTGTGTGGCTCAATAGTTTGCTAGTAACTATGAGACAATTTTTGAACCAAAAATTGAAGTTTAAAAAAAAAAAAAAAATGCATATGAAGCTATGGATAAAGGTATAAAGGCAAGGCAAGGAGGAGGAGGAGGAGGAGGAGGATGATGGTAATATGAAGTGCTAATTCATTCTATCGCACACAAGACAAAAATGACTCACAGAAGAAGGCATTTAAAAGAGCTAAGAATTTCATTTACATTGTTCACCCTTATAAACTAGCAACAATTGTGGCATACAATTCTTTCTTCTTTTTTTTTCTCTTTTTATACTTTTTTGGGACATTGGGTGAGAGTGGTCTATGATTCAAGTGATTTGGCGGTCTCTGATTCATAAGCAGAGTCAAACGACACATCCATCCAAGTGGACCTACGCACTCTCAGCTTGCGGATCAGAGAGTTGAGAGCCGATTAACCTATAGTTCACAATTTCATTTTGAGTTCACAAATTGTAAATGAAATCTCCTAAGGGTGTGCATTTGATCCGCCTATCCGTGATTCCGATCCGACTCACGGATTGGTGGTGGATTCAATAATATGAAATCCGTAGTTCACGGATTAGATTACGGATTGGGCTAAAAATCCGATCCGATCCGTGATATAGATATTGGTAACGTGCATATTCATATTCAAATTGGTAACGTGCATACCCTTCCTATGTAGCCAACAACCGCCAAAACAGAGCCCATTTTGAGATCAGACATTGCAGGTGATCTTAGTAAGTTACGACAACTGTCAAATCACCGGCAACCAAACAAAAAGACTACATATTAATTCGGGTAGCCTATAATATATCGTGCATATTCATATTTGCCAAAAAGTGGAAACTTCTCAAGTTACTCAGACTAATAACTGTGCCATTACAAAGACTCTTCTAAGTTGGAAGCAGGGCTCAGGAGACTTGCATTAGTCAATATCTTATTTTATGGGGATCCTAGGGTACTTGGCTTGTAGGTTGAAGATCAAGATTCATCAAGATAACATCACCCCACGTGCATACACCTCGATCAATTTCGAAAGAAAAGAGACCAATGGTCCCTTCACCCCAATCCTCAAGATAAGCCATACTTATAATCCTCACAATTTGATGTTTGACTGCATCACCTACCGCATCTGCACTTCATATGGCATTTTAGCACACAACCATACTCCATTAATTATTACCTAATGGGTTATGACCATAAGTGACACTACCAAATGCTGTGATTTGGTCTAATCATTTCCCCGTATGTTATCTTCTTCTTTTTTTTGATAAGTAAAATTGTATTAGAAAGCATTCAAAAGGGGAACGCATCCTAAAAGCTGTACAAGAGTCAAAGCAAAAAAGAAAGCCTAAGGATCCAAAGACCCCAAAAAGTCCAAGAACTCCTCAACGGAAGAACACACTCTCCCCATGCCCCAACTAAAAAGAGAACAAATGATAGAATACTTAAGAGCCCCAATGGGTAACTCCTCCCCAACAAAGGATCTTCTATTGCGTTCTTTCCATAAACACCACCAAATGCAGAGGGGAGTCACCCTCCAGAAGTCGTGTACTCGAGCCCCCACCCTCTGTCCCCTCCAAATATCGATAAGACTTCGTGAGGTCCGAGGCATAACCCACTGAATGCCAAAAAGACCCAACATAAGGCTCCAACAGTCATGGCCCACTGGGCAGTGCAAAAGAAGGTGATCCACAGACTCTCCATCGGTCATACACAGACAACACCGATTAACAATGACATGTCTCCTCTTCCTCAAATTGTCCAGAGTCAGGATCTTGCCCCGAGCAGCAGTCTAAGCAAAAAAAGCCACCCTGAAAACTAGAAAGACAGAAGAAGAAAGACCGGACCTGAAAAGTCCCCTGCGAAGAAGGCACCCAAGTCAAAAGGTCCACCCCAGTGCCCTCCACCTCCTGTCGATACAAAAGGTCCAAAAAAGCAGTGACATCATCCAGCTCCTAATCCTAAAAAGCTCACCGAAACTGAACATCCCAAGATAACTTACCGCTATCAAGGCGATAGCAGTCAGCAACCAAAGCATGGCAATCCACAGCAATCCTAAACAACCTTGGAAACCGTTGACACAAGGGACGTTCCTCACACCAGGATCCTCCCAAAACCGGACACTCCGACCTTCCCGGACTCTGAATCTAATATGCTTAGAAAACTCATCCCAACCCCTCCCAATAGACTGCCACACACCCACGCTGATAGCAGATCTAGCCTGTCTAGCAAACCAACCCCCTCTATCCTCCCCAAACCAGCAAGCAACGATCTTCCTCCAAAATCTATGTCTTTCACTGCCAAACCTCCAAAGCCATTTGCCAAGAAGGGCCCTGTTGAATGGGACCAACCTCCAAATCCCAATGCCTCCTGACTTGAAAAGCTTGCAGACCTGCTCCCACCGAACAAGATGATACTTAAACTGCTCCCCCCAACCACCCCAAAGGAAGTTGCGTTAAATCATCTCAATTCTCCTGACCACAGAAGAGGGAATCTGGAACAGAGAAAGGAAATATGTTGGGAGGTAGGACATGACACTCTTCACCAACGTAACTTTTCCTCCCTTCGAAAGATATTATTTTTTCCATCCAGCCAACCTTCTCTCGAAGCGCTCAATAACTGGGTCCAGCAACCCACCCTTCTTGAGGAGACCCCCAAGGGCAAACCCAGATAAGAAATAGGGAAGGAACCCGTCCTACATCCAAGAACAGCTGCCAGGGAATCCACCTCCTGAACCTCCCCCACAAGGACAAGCACACTCTTGCCCGCATTGATTCTCAAACCAAAAACAGCCAGAAAACAAACCAGGACACATCTCAAGTATCTCAATTGGGACACCTCTGCCTCACAAAAAACCAATGTATCATCCGCGAACAGCAAGTGAGAAATCTCCAATTGATGAACTGCCTCAGGACCAATCTTGAAGCCCCGAAAAAGCCCCAAGGTAACAGCCCTCCTCATCAGCCTGCTACAAGCCTCCATAATAATGATGAACAAGAAAAGGGGAGAGGGGGTCCCCTTGCCTCAAACCACGAGAACTACCAAAAAAACCCCGAAGGGGATCCATTAACCAACACCGTGAATCTGACAGACGAAACGCAAGTAACAATCCATTTCCTCCATCTCTCACCGAAACCCATCCTCTCAAGCAAATAGAACAAGAAATTCCAGCAAACATGATCATAGGCTTTCTTGATGTCCAGCTTATACAAAACTCCGGGAACACCGCTACGAAGCCTAAAGTCCACACATTCACCGGCAATAAGAGCAAAATCCAGAATCTGTCTGCCCCCCAATAAACGCATTTTGAGACTCTGAAATGACTCCGTCCAAAACCCCTCTCAATCTTGAGGCCAAGACTTTGGCGATGAGTTTATACAAACACCCAATCAAACTGATAGGTCGAAAGTCCTTAATATCAGAAGCTCCCCCCTTCTTAGGAATCAAAGCAATAAAAGAAGCACTCAATGACTTTTCGAACTTCCCAGTGGAATGAAACTCATTAAAAGTGCCCATAATCTCCTGTCTGACCACCTCCCAGCTTTCCAGGAGGAAACACATAGTGAAACCATCCGGGCCTAAAGCTTTATCACCATTACAACTCTTCAAAGCCATCAGGTTCTCCTCCTCCATAAAAGATCTCTCTAACCCATCCCTATCCTCCACTAAAATAGAGTCAAAATGAAGACCATCAAGTCTTGGCCTCCAGCAAAGAGGCTCAGTATATAACCTCTGATAAAAAGAAACAATCCCCGTTCGCACCTCCTCATCAGAAGTCAACAGCGAACCATCCACCCAAATTTGACCAATATGATTGCCCCTCCTATGTGCATTGGTCGTTCGGTGAAAGAACTTAGTATCACGGTCACCTTCTTTGAGCCACAAAGCCCGAGATTTCTGCCGCCATGAGATCTCCTCCATCACCACAATCTCAGCACATTCAGCCTGACAAGCAGCTCTCCTAGACCGTTGAGACTCCTCAAGGCCTCCCGCAGTATCCAATCTATCAAACTCTGCAATATCAGTGAGAGCCCTATTTTTCCTCTACTCCAGATTCCCGAACACCTCCTTATTCCATATTTTAATTTTATCCTTCAGAATACGAAGCTTTCCTGCAAGGATAAAACTCGAAGTACCCACCACCATGTCCTCCTCCCACCAAGTCCGCACCAAACCCTGAAAATCCGCCGCTCTAAGCCACATATTTTCAAATCTGAACGGAGTGCGACGAGGGCTCAAACCTCCACAATCCAAAACCAAAGGAATGTGATCCAACATCACCCTAGCCAACGCAGCCTGAACTGCATCCGGAAACTACTCATCCCACTCTCCGAAGATCAAGAATCTATCCAGACGTGAAAAAGTAGGCATCTCGCTACCACAAGACCAAGTGAAAGCAGCTCCCTCCAAAGGGAGATCAATAAGTTGATGATCATTGATAAACTCCGAGAAAAGCATCATAGCCGGAGTCCATGACCCACCTGTAGACCTCTCCATCGGGGATCTTACCACGTTAAAGTCACCTGCCACACACCAAGGAAGAGACCACATCTCCTGAACTGCACAAATCTCCTCCCACAACACAAGCCTCTCACAATCATCCACTGGCCCATAGACACCTGAAAAAGCGCAAGGGAAGCTATCCTCTTCCAACACAAAGGCACAAGACACAGAGAACAGCCCCCTGCACACATCCACCTTATCCATCCATCTCCTATCCCACATCAAAAGAATACCTCCAGAAGTCCCAACTGAATCAAGCGCCTCCCACTCAACAAACCTACTACCCCAAAGGCTCTTGACGACTCTATCAGTCGTAGAATCAATCTTCGTTTCTTGGAGACACACCAAATGAACCCCCCATTTCGTCACAGCCATCTTCACCAC